TGGCCATTCATCCAAACCCAAGAACTACGTCGCCCTTGAAGCTCAAATTTTGCTTGTGTTTGATCCATTAGGGAGGATCAGCACTGACACCTCCAACACAGGTTTCTGTGTAAAAGTTTTGAAGTGCAGAATGGCTCATTTTTTTTCAATCTGAGAACCCAAACTGGACCTAAGCTCATGTTGTTGAGATGCAGGTAATGCAAGTCCCTAAAAGAATTCTGGGTTCCTGATCAGTCCCTGAAGTGGAGCTCAAACTAGTTGAGCAAAACAAGCTCCCAGGGTGGTGGATACCTTGTCCTTAACAACCAAACATGAGGCTGTAATCCCTAGTCTCACACCTCTAAACGTTTTAACTCCTCTGAAAAGAACCTGTAACCTCTCACCTCTGCCCCCAGAGGCAAATTATTTTAAATCTGCAAGAAGTTATCAGAGAACGAAATTGAGCAAGTATTAGCATCTGCTCGATTCGTCGAACAGCTTTGGAGAAACACTGCTCTACTGATCAAGTTTAACTAGGCCTGGGCCGATAATCAATAAATCAATTTATCGCACGATAAATTAAAATGAACTCGATAATTTTTCCGGCCTCGATATATCGCCATGTGCATGCGTGTTTGTTTTCCTTGTCTCTCGCCTCCAAGCAGGCTGGATGACAAGAGGGTTCACTCTGTGCTCGGTCTCAGCACCTGGGGGCTTATGTTGCGGAATGAACGGAGTGAACCCTCTTGTCAGTCATCCAGTCTCTTTGTCTCTGTGGAGGGAGGCGGGGCCGCTAGCATTAGCTCCAGCCACACACACAGAGCAACGTGAGGAAAAAAGATGATTGCAAAGCCAAATGCCACAGCCCCGGTGTGGGAATATTTCGGCTTCAAACCGAATGAGCAAGGTTTAGCCCATCAACACGGACGAGCCAGTTCATAAGTGGTGGCAACGAAAAAAGGCAACACAACAAACTGCCCACCTAAAGCATAACCACCCGACCCAGTGTTCCCAGCTGGGGAAACAAAGTGCACCTCGAGATGCAGAGCCTTCGTCCCGACAGTCAACACTCACTGAGGCGTTCGGTCGACAAAGTAAACTTTAGAACCAAGTTTGCTCTACTAATACTCACTCCTAACATGTTACCTCTGGGGCATGTTCAGCATTAACTCTTTGTTTTTCTGCATGTTCTGATGACACATCTCAGTGTCATAGCTTTGATATCAATGTTTCATTATATTATATTTAAAAACATTAAATAAAGAGAATCATATGTTGTGAACTGGTTTTCTTACCTCTTCAACAGGAAACTGGTCGAGTTCAGCCTCTTCCTCCTCTGCAGAAGAAACTACCCGCGCCAGACTGGCGCTTAGAGCTGACAGTTTCTGTACAGACAAAAACAACAGAATTAGAGCAACAGTCCTAAATGTAATTATTAAATGTGCACTACATAATAACCTACATACTATTATCTTGTTATTATGATCTCAAAATGAAAGAAGTGTGTACCATTGTTCTAAGTTAATTAATGTATTTTTACACAGCTGCTAACAAAACAAAATGTGTTGACTCCTTTAAAACATTCAAGATAAAGGGCCTCACCTCTAAGTAGCATTCTGAATTCATGGCATAGTCATCCTCATTCTCATCCTTCAGCTCCGACTCTGCTTTACTGTCCAGCTGCAAAAGGAGGGACGACATTAACAGAGCACAGATGCCAACCAGTCAAGTTGCAGTTTACATTCATGTCCATCCAGAAATAAGAAGTAATATATATATGGTGTAGACTTTAAAGCAATTCAATACAAGGTTATTTTGTTGATACAATTTGTTGATGCGGGAGAGATGAGCACAGTGGACTAAATCTACAAACTTGTTTTAATGTGACAATTTTTTGTACAGCAGGAATGATGTGGATATTTTCCAACTGTGTGACAAAACTGGTATTACTGATTATACCAAACATTTTACAAGGAACGACGTGTTGGCTTAATATCTGCAGAGCTTTCACTCCCCAAGATCGACATAAGTCCTCGTTTTTAGAATCCAAGATACCTTAGGTGGGTAGAGCAGGTTGAGGGAATGGTACAGTCTGAAGTTGATGAATCCCAGGAGAGTGGTGTACAACTCTGTGAATGTTGCCATTACTCTGTAGTCGACATCTGTTGGGTGCTAAAAAGGAAAAAAAAAAAAAAAAATAATTTTAAAAGTCTCAATGGTAAAATTACTAAAAATCCAAGCAAATATTTTTAGTAATTTATAATCCACAAAGCCCACAAACAGCAGCAATAATAATAATAGCAATTTGAGAGAGTATTAATAGTATAATTACTATGGACTACATTTCATCATTCTGCACTTACATCATGGGAGAACTGGTATGGCACCAGCCATGTAGTGAGCTGTCCCATCACCTCAGCCTGATAATATATTCCCTTGATGGAGATGAAGACCTGATTTGAGGAGGACAGTGTTAAATGCATTGCCAACCAGAGGTCAATGAACTCAGTTCATATCAATATACCCCTAAATCATTATGCATTAGCACCTTTCTGAGAGCACGAGCTGCAACCACATAGTTCATCCACTCCACAGTGAGGCGTCGACACAGCTGGATTGTCTGCACATGGCATTTTCCTGTTCGGGCGAAGGTGGAGAAGAGGAAGCACATGCAGAGGGAGTCGTCAATATCACGGAGGGCGTCGATGAAGGTGGGGTACCTGTCAGATAGAAGAGCACCTGTGAGGCAATGCAGCTTGATACAGAATTATTTTATTATCTCTTTGATTACAAAAGACGTGTTTTAATTTAACTTTTAAAACTGCTGACATGCTTTAACAAAAAAAGAATTCCCCCCAATGAGCAGCTCTCAATTTGATTGTCCAGAGAAAATCCTATGTTGACTGCAGAGAATAGCCCTCACCTTTCTTTGATGATGTGGTCCAGTTTATAGGTGGGCTTGTTCTCTTTCAGTCTTTCCACTGCAGACCACTCTGTTTTTCCATAAGCCCTCTTAAGTTTGCGTACAAATACCTGTTAAGAAAACATATTTTGACAATAGAATAAATGTTCAAGACAAATCAACTCTTACTTTAAAAACTGTTCATGCATTGGTGTTGATATTTTAAATTAAACAGTGAAAAATATGTCTGTAATACCTTGTAGTCTCTGAACTTGCCCACGATTGGCTCATGCAGCAGGAAGCGGATGTCTTTGAGCAGGTAGAAGGTCCTCGGGGCAGTGGAGCCCTTGTTCACCTTCTTCTTGTGCTTGGGCTCATGAGGGTAGATTCCTTTGAGGATGCACAGTCGCCTGAAAATCGTAATCAAGAGTCATTTCACTATGTGACATAGCTGTTTACTGAGTGCATCTTTCCAGCCAGACATCCTGAAGCAAAATCTCTAATGCTCTGCTGTTACAATTATCTACAATATGCAAATAGGATCGAAATATATATAACATCTGCAAGTTTAATGCAACACAATCCATCAGCACTGAACTATAATCCCCCGAATTATCCCCAAAATCACTCAATAGTTCTCTATATTACATAGCAATAACTTTTATTGAGGTAGCATTTATTGCAAGGCCATTTTTATCAGAGTGTAATAATGTCACGTGTATGTTTCTCATAGATTATCAGATGAGATCACGTCGATCTAAAGATCACTTAAATAACTCTTGAGCATTGTAATGTTACCTGAAATCCGGGAGGCTCAGCTGCAACTTCTTCCGAGCTTTGTTTCTGGTGATGTAGTTGGTGACAGATCCCCTCTCATACTGCACAACAAGAACAGGCGATCACATCAAAGTCCCACAAATCATTAAATAGTCGAGTTAACAACATACATCTACTTCTTCAAACGCTCAACTGCACCAACACAGTTTTAGAACAACAAACGTCAGCTAGCTCCGTTAGCTAACTAGCTAACCAGGCTGCTATCCTGATATTTGATGTAACGTGTGTAATCTAATGACATTAGCCCGACAGCGACTCTTACCTTTTTCTTCTGAAGACCTCCCATTTCTGAACAGTATCTGAATCTCTACACACGTTCAGAAAATACAATTCTTAACGGAACACACAATTCTCATGTGTACACAACGTTAGCTGCAGCCACACGTAGTCGATGCACGTGTGCTTTGACGTGCGAGCAGTAAGCAGGACCCCGAGGTGGGCCGTTTGTCCGCCTGTTTAAAAAACAGAAATTAAATAAGAAAAAAACTTCACAGTGTGTCTTATTGATTTCTTTTTTTAACATTTAATATTCACCAATACACACCCATATAAGTTTTAGGGTGATTACACAGGCAAGTATGGCTAAACAAAGGGGGAGAAATATTCAAAATAGATGCGATCTGTTAAAGGAGAACGTTTGTGGAATAAATATTAGGAGGAAGTAAAATGCACGTTGTCCACTTTGCAAGTTCAAAATTGTTCCAATAAAAAAAAAGATGATAAACATATACAAAACTATAATGTATTTATTTTGAAAAATTATAGCCTATTTTTTTGTTTGTCTTGTCTCTGTTTGCACTTTTCTTCATTAACCTGAGCTTCAAATCAAATGAAGTACTGACAACTATTTTACTAACAAAGGAAAAATATTTGTTACAAGTTGTGAAGCACCACGTTGTTATTTGGTCTTATACCGATTGCTATACTTCTATTTATTGTGGAGGTTGAATACGTGGACTGGAATAAGCAGAATGAATGAATTAATGTAAAATGTGAATTTGACACACCATCTGTATCAACACCATGTCAAATATAATGACAAACTCATTATATGTTAGTGTATTATGTAATTTTGTGACAGGAAAATGTTTGAATTGCCTACAAAATTTTTTCCAATGCAGAACTATAAGCAAGTTATTCAGATTTTATGCCCAGGAGCATCAATTATTACTCATCAGTATAGACCGACAGGAAAGAAAATGGATGATTCAACCACAACTGAAACCCCACCCGTTCTCCTCTGCTCCCTCCCTCACCGGCACCAGGGATACAGGAGAGATGCAGACAAGATCAGAGGGTGACAAAAAGAAACAGTGGGAGAAATAACAAGCCGGATTCAGACTGAAAAATAAAGAAACTAGACCTTGACAACAATTCCGAAGATGGGTGAAGTATTTCATACCTTCATCGTGGGATTCACTGTGTTTATTAAGGACTATTTTACTGGTTTCTGGGACTATGAGACACCAAAGATGATGGTGGTTAAAAACAGAACTCTTGGATTCATTTACAGGAGCGTTCAGTTTCTCGTGATCACCTATTTTATCTGGTAAGCATCATATTTGTGTATTTGCATGTTCTCTAAATGTGTTAAAAGGGACAATCTATGAAATTCAAAAGCTTTGGTAACTTCAATTTATAGATTTGTCGTCATATTTTTTTCAGTTGTAATCCATCTTTTAGGAATTGCAGTAAAATATGAACTCGTATTAGTATAAATACGACAAAATAATTGCCAACAATATTCTTTTGTTTGTAAATAGAGCAAAGAAGAATAAAAAATATGTGACTTTTAATTTTTGAACCCATAAAATGCAGTTTTGTGCAGAGGTAATACTTGTAAAATATTTGCAGGAAAACAAATAACAGCATCAACTCTTTCCATTGAAAGACATGTTATCTGCTATGAGCAGATCAGCTTTAATAAATAAAGAGTTTGTGATAATTAAATTACTCATCTTATTATTTCAGATCTTAAATGTTCTCTTACATGAGATGTCTTCAGTTGTATTGTTGAAGTGCGTCATCTTCCTTTGGCTTCAGTAAAGAGGGTTTTAACAGATCCATGGTAACATGACACATCTTGTGAAAATTGAAAAACAGAAAATGTGATCTTGCCTCTGTCTGTTCATTGCCCTGAAGGTATGTGTTTATAAGTGAGAAAGCGTACCAAGAGAGTGAAACCCATCCAGAGAGCTCTGTTTACACTCTCATGAAAGGCACAGCGGTTCATGGAGATTATATTCTGGATACTGTGGAGTACGTTCAACCCTCAGAGGTGAGGCCACAGTAAATACTGCAGCACAGTCAACACATTTCCACCAATTCTAATCCATCTGCATCATCATCATTATCACTATCATGTTAGTGTGAATACCTCTGAGTAATTTTTTGGGTATTTTCTTTGTAGGGAGGTGATGTGATTAGTACAATATTGAGACGAGAGGTCACATATGATCAGAAGCACGGGACCTGCGCAGAGGTGAGAGGTCAACTGAAGCTAGTGTGCAGGAAAATACAATTTAGTGTAAGAGTTAAACAGACACCTTTATTTTCCTATTCATTTCATATTAGCATTTCAAAGTTCCTTCAGCCAACTGTACAACTGATTCTGACTGTGTCCAAGGGGAGATTGACTTTGAAGGCCATGGTACTGATTTTATTACTCAAGATATCTTTCCTCGTGACCCGTTGGTTTGTATTTGCCTCAGTTTTCCTTTGTTTTAAACGATTTCTCACAGGCAGGAGGACGGGCAGATGTATTCGATACTATAACCACGCTTTCAAAACCTGCGAGATCCAAACTTGGTGTCCTATTGAGGAGTACGCTGTAGTACGGTAAGACAGGTGATGCATAATCACCACCAGGTTGATGAGGCAAGTTTCATTCAGATTTATTTAGACCATTTAATAGTCAATACAATGTGTCAGTGGACCTGGAAGACAAAGAAACCAAATATGTTGATGCATAAACCAAATAAGAAAAACCTAGAGGCAGCTAAGACAGATCCCTATATCTTGGATAAATTATAAGATACATGAAAAAAAGTCACAGTTAATTAACATGAATTGGTCAAATTAACTTAGTAAAGTTTCAGCTATTTATTTGTTTATCTGAAGCAACATGCACCAAATTCAATGATAGTGATTACAAATCACAAAAAAAATGATGCAATGTAGACCCGTGTGTTTCTCTGGACCTGTCCTGCTCATAGGGTCATAAGATAAATCTGAGGGGTTGAATAGGATAAGAAATAAGAAGAGTTACACTTCTACTTCACAAAATGTCCTAGTCTTTGCTTTGAGAAGGAAAAACTACTCCTTGGTTGAATTGTCCTCCCAGAGCACAGACAACAGTTAAACCAGTGTTAACTGTGCCAAACCCTAACATCACCACCACCTTCAGTATTCAGGTCATCGCACAATGACTTTTTATGACTTTCAGGGCTCATATTGCCTGGTGTCAATTCAAAACCTAGGATCAAAGCACCAATAATCATCCCACATAAAACCTGTTTAGATGTGTGATAAAAACATGCTTCAAGTGAAAACCCCAGAGTTACTTACTGTCACTCATTTCAAAGACGAATCCTAATCATTTCTGATATAGACTGGAACATGTTCAAAATTAATGGCGTGCCCAATCAGCTTGTTCAGTTATACATCCTAATTTGTTGTTGAAATCTGTGAAAAGTTGCACATTAACAATGAAACTGGATTAATAAAAGTGGGGAGTAGCTTTCAAAATAGTAGCAATACCAAGTATCAACGGTAAAGCTCAATATTTAGTCCACATAGATAGAACTGTGCAGCAACCAATCACAAACACATAGGAGTAAAAATAAAGAGTAGTTTGGGAAGAAGATAAAAGACGTTTGTAAGTATCGCTCAGTCACTGATCTGACAAAATGGTGGATGTAACAACGTCAATAAACCAGTGTGGTAAGAGATAAGATTCCATTTTATAAGACTATGATATCATGATTATTTGATGTCTTCAACAGTGAACCACCGTTAGTGGAGGCGATCAACTTCACAGTGTTCATCAGGAACTCCATTCACTTCCCTAAATTTAAAGTACTGAGGTAAAGTACCTGCACACACACACACACACACACACACACACACACACACACNCACACACACACACACACACACACACACTGTAAAAGATAATCAGACCTCTTCTTTTGTTTGGAAGGGGAAACATCAAAGATATGCCAAACAAGCGCAAAATGCAGAAATACCTCAGTAAGTGTCAGTATGATGAGGAGAATGAGCCGTACTGTCCAAACTTCCGTCTGGGATACATCGCAAATAAAGCGAGGGAAAATTTCAGTGAGCTCTGCAAGACAGTGAGTTTGACATCTGCGTTGTAGATTTCTGATATTAAGGATATATAAATGGTTGAAGCATGTATTTTAATTGGCACACAGATGTGTTTACAATGACCCGGAGATGTGATGATGTGAAGGGTCACTGCTGTTTTTGCTCAGGGAGGAGTGATAGGGGTTTTCATTAACTGGAAGTGTAACCTGGACCTGGATCCTTCACACTGTAAACCTACGTATTCCTTCCGTCGTCTTGATCTCCGAAAGGATCAGGCCAGCTCTGGATACTATTACAGGTGAGCGCCAACCCCAAACACTGACAATATTAAGTAGGTGTTATATATAAAACTGTGGTCTTTACTTTGGCTTGACTTAAATCTTCCTGTCTTTGTCCTTCATGTGCATTTGTCCAGATTTGCCAAATATTACAATAAGAATGGGGTCAGCTCTCGGACACTGATCAAGGCCTACGGCATCCGTCTGGACGTCATTGTTCACGGTCAAGTGGGTGGATCATCTCTGCAGTATATTCTCTGCTCACTGTCGTATCATTTACATGTCATTTCTTTGCAGGCTGGTAAATTCAGTCCCATCCCAACCATGATCAGCACAGTGACTGCCTTGACTTCAGTTGGGATTGTGAGCGACTTCTCTTCTTTCTAATCTTCAGATTTTAAAGTGATTGTGTTTGCAACACAAAATGTTTCTTCTTTTCATTTCACCCCTCTAGTGTACCATAATCTGTGACTGGATCATGCTGACGTTTATCGACAAGAACGAAATCTACAGTGAGAGAAAGTTTGATGAAGTGAGCAGCGGCATCAAATATTCATTAATCACTGAATCCTCAATCCATCTGTGGTTGTGGCAGTTTACTGATCATTAGTGGGTTTTGTATGTCAGAAGAGATATTAAAGTAAAATTTTAGCCTGGCTGTTCTAAATAATACATACAGATCTATGTTAGTTTACAGTTTGCTTACAGTATGGTTCACAAAATGATTTGTAGTTGGTTAATGTAAAATTAATAAGCTAGGTGAGCTAATCTAAACTGTCACATTGTGATTTATAATATATTGCCTGAATGTTGCAATATATTAACTCTCATTCAAGCTTTTCATACAATCATCACTGAGTAGTTCCATCATTTCACTGTGATTGTCCCATTCATTTTTTGAAATGTTTTATTTAAAAATGGTAAACCCAAGTTTTAATTCCCTACTTCATTAATAACAAACAATCGATGGCACAGTTCTCCGAAATATGCTCAATATGTTGCGTACTGTATGTATACTAATACTGTATTCATGTTTAATGCACAGTGTATTTTGCTGCATTGTGCCTTCAAACCCTCCATAGAGGGTTCAATTTATAGTTTTATAGTTTTTATAGTAAAAAAACAAAACCATTGCTTCTGCAGCATTGTACATTTGAAGTTGAAATAAGCCATGGTGTAAACCTAAGCAGGGCATAGAGTGAAAAGTATTTACAACTATTTTAATAACATCCTCCTCTCTAAATGTCCTGCACAGGTTATCAATGAGCCCACAGTGCCCATTCCCACAGAGCTCAGCTACATCAATAGTTTCGGCTCCATCCACTCAGACCTGTCAGACGGTGTACCGCTGTGATGTCATCACAGTTCCCTAAGTCCTCGCCGTGGCCACATGTGTATACTCTTCTAAAACCAGCTGACTGTGGCAATGACAGAACTTCTGAGTGGTTCCTCAGGAGTCTTGCGACAGCTCAGTGACTTCTGTTGGCTGCTGACAGTGTGGATAAACTGACAGAGAAACACACAGGTGGAGGAAACCTGGTGAAAGAAAGTCAAAGTCTTTGCCTGTGCAGCAGGTTCATCTATCATCTCAATCCACGATGCACCTCCACTGTTGGACAGTGTCCTTAAACCTGTTTCTTAGACCACTGTAAAACCACCTGGATGTTTATTTTCTCAAAATATTTCAGAGCAGAAAAATATTTGAGAAATATGAAAGACAGACTCACCAACCATGCAAATTGTATGTTCATGTATTTCAAACACTCAACCCAACAATAAAAGTCTGTCTGCTTACTTGTTACAGACAATCATCATCATAATGATATCATCTTATTAACGAATACACTATAATGTGAAACACTTATTCATTCCCTTCATCTTCCAACCCTGACGAGTTTGTCATAATGAGAAGATACATGAGGAGGAAATGGTCAGGGAGAGTGAAGAGCAGTAATCAAATAACACCAGCATTTCCCATAAAAGGGTTTCTTTAACAAGATTTGGGTGAAGTGTGAATCCATCTGAACGGCTGAGAGCAAAATGTCAGTTGTATTGTAATGGATCAATCCATGATGGATGGAGGAGCACAAGGTACAGCAACATACCAGTTAGATAACATGCTCATGACACGTAAAGATCTAAATCCATAAAGAGATATGATTTAAAGGTCCAGTGTGTAAGATTTAGGTGAAAGGGATCTATTGGCAGAAATTTAATGTAGAATAATTCTCATCTTTTCACTAGTTCATTTTATCCTTATTGTATGAATTGTAGTTTTCTTTACCCCAGAAAAGACCCTTTGTATTCAAATACTTTATATTTACATCGAGGGGACCCTCTCTACGGAGGCCGCCATGTTTTTTACATTAGTCCAGACTGGACAAACTAAACACCTTTTGAGTTTTTCTGACAATTAAAGGCTACCACAGGTTCTTTTACCTTTAGTTTGAAGATTTATTTACAGGACAAAAACTGAAAATGTAAAGAAAATAGTCACTGTGTCTCTAATATTGTTCTCATGACTTCATTTGTAAACCGACCTGTACAGTTTGTGCCACTGAGAAGCTCCAAAGAGTCAATCTAATTGTGCCTCTGAAATGTGATTACTTGTCTGGGATAAGCCCATCTACAGGCAAGGGAGCAGCTGTGGAGCAATGAGGTTAAAGAGATGGAGGTGCACCAGTGAAGATCATTGTACTCCAGACGCTTGTATTCATCTCCAACCATGAAATGTTTTCTTGGCATAAATACTGTACACATTCAAAAGGCAGGAAAACCTTTTCTTTTCATTTAGTAAAAGTACTGCTAAATAGACAAAAATGTTGTCAAGTAAAAGTAACTACCTAATTAACTTTTCCACTTGTTAAAGTCAGTACTTGCTTTTGAATATACTTAAAGTTCTGGCCAAGTTCAGCCTATTCACTGCGTCTTCTACTCCCATTTAAGTAAAAAATGTTGCAGATGATGCTACTACAAACAGGAATTGTCATATTAATGTATAACTGAGTGTCTGCCTTGGTCCATTTTTTGTTTCTTCAGCAGTGCTGCTGCAGGAGGCGGAGTCTAATGTAAAATCATAATAATAAAAATGTGAACATGTAATGCAATGCCTTGTAAAAATGTAGTGGAGTAGAAAGCACAGATTTACTGAAATTTGTATTGGAGTAAAAGTGTTAAGTACCTGAAAATAAATCTATTTAAGTCAAGTAGATACATGAACTTAAGTGCATAAAGTTAATGTACTTTTTTACTTCCCACTACAGATTCAGGATCAGCCTCACGGGGAGAAAGCTCACACAATTAAATGACTGCTGATCGATGAAGGTCTCCAAAGAGGGTAGCAATCAGAGAAAGAGATTTATGTTTTTTCCACTGTGGCAGAACAGCAGTCGAAGCTACAGCTCAATTTAAAAAACTGAGCAGTAAAAACAAATAGATACAAATACTTGGAAAACATTTATTAACAATGAAAAGCAGAAATTAATACATTTAATAAAACATTTAATTACATAATCAGGAGTTCAAACATATTTACAGTCCATTTCTCTTCCAACCTGCATTACACACAGTCAAACAGGATGGAAACAGATGTCAAGTGCATCATCTGGCAAAGATTTCAGCTCTGAGTGTTTTCCACACTGATAGCTGAGAGAGACGTCACATTCAGCGAGAGCTCTGTCCGACCTGTGGATTCATCATGACCAGCCAGTCAATGGTCTCCCCCAGGAAGCTCATGTTGTAGTGGGTGGCTATGTTCTGAAACACTGTGATCTGCTCGGAGAAGCTCTTTAAATGGAAGAGAGGAAACAAAAACAGCTGTAAGATGCATGCTTCCATCACTAAAACGAATGATGTAATGTATCAGGGAGCAGAAACCTTGACTGAGAAAGTGAGGTCAAAGTCTCCAGCACATCTGCAGTAGAGGGACATGTTTGCGTCCTTCACGCCTTTACATTTGTTACACACCTGAAATCACACAGGAGGTTTTTTCATGATCACATTGCTGCTGTTTCACACCATGGACATTCTTCAGTATGAACATTATTTGTTATTTTTGGGACCCTAAAGGCCTCACAGAAGAGATATTTTGCTTTGTTTGAGACTGCTTAAATTATCTAGAAACATTTTTATGATATTTACATTAACTATTAGGATGAGGTAGTTTCATCTAATGTTTATGAAAATCAGAATTTGTAACTCACCAGGTCCTGCAGTGTGTAGCTCATCAGCTTCTTCTGCAGAGCTTCCACCAGAGCCATCTCTACAGACTCAGTCTCGTACTGGGCCTGGCAGTTGGAGCAGAACCACTGAGGTAAGACAGACCCGTCCTGAGGAGAAGAAAACAAGGGTTCATTTCGTTTAGATGTCTGAATATGAATGGACTGTATTTGTATTTTGCTTTTCTTGTCTTATCGACTACTCGCAAGTCGCATTCACACATTGCTCTTACATGCTGCACTTTCTAAATCACAGGGACAATTTGGGTTTTAGTATTTTGACAAGTTGCACTACCTCCTGGGCCACAGCTGCCGAATTATGCACTATTGGCAAATCAAGTGACAATGTTGCTGGAATTGTATTACAATTACATGTAGCAAATTATCATTTTGCTTTTGTCTAAGCTCTCACCTGTGCCACGGATGGGTCTTTGCAGAGGTCGAGGTCACGACAGAAATTACAGTGGTGGCAGATGACCTCTGGTAGGATGTAGGAGTTGCAGGGATCATGGAACTGAGCGTCCTCTGAAAACTCTCCGACGTCCACAAGACGCAGGAGGTCCCTCTTTAGCTTGTTCATCTGGTTCACTATGTTGGCGTCCAGTGAGAGGACCTACAGGGAGAAAAGATGTTGCATCAATTACAAATCCACCAACACCATTCAGTATTGCAGCAGAAATAATTATGGCAGCATGCAACACAAAAAACAGCGTAGTAAGATGTTTCTTGTGTTCTGTTAAGCTTCTGTCAATTACCAAATATACGAATATCTAGGTGCATACCTGGCAGACATATTTGATGAACTCCAGTGCTGGGTTGTTGAGTGGCAGGTGGGATCCAGGCAGGACAGGGAACATCTCTGAGGGCTGCGCCACACTCCTAGTGCCTGTCACCTTCTTCTGGATTTTTTGAGTGATGGTGAAAAAGTTCTGTGTCAGCTCACTGGACACGTATTCCTGGGAGAAGGAGATCATTCCTACAGGAGAAAAATCATCACATCTGTGAGGAAATCAGCCTGAATGTGATTAAAAGCTCCCATTAAGGGTTGAGGTGTTACATAATCTATTCAGTGGTAACTAATGAGTGTAATGTGAAGTCCTTTAAAGATAGTTAGTGTGTTAAAGCAGGTAAAGCAGCTTCTTACCAGGAAGAGCACTCAGGTCTCCCACTGCCTGCTGGGAAGCCTGGCTGCCTCCACGTCTCTTAACTGGTGTTGCTCCAGGAGCATTACGTCTCAGCTCCTCTTTCATACTGTGGTACACAGCTGCAATGTAGGCTGGGTGGAACATGTGTGTGTTTGTTAGTACAGAGAAAAGCAAAGAACAAATGTCTGTTGTGTGCAGATTCTTTTTTTTTTTACCTGAGACGATCATGAGGAAGTATTTCTGACAGGAGGCTGTTTGAGGCAGGTACTGCATGATGTTCCAGTTGCTCTCGATCAACTCCTCTACATCATCCGTCTCTTCATCTTCCTCAACTTCTGCTTCCTCCTCATCTTCATCCTCACTGCCCTCCTCTTCACCCTCCCCTCGTTTATTTTTCTTCTGTTTGGCTCCTTCCTAAAGAACCAACAAGGGAGGGGGAATTACCTCTGTATTCAGCTCAGATAACTTTAATTAAATTGTATAAACTGCTATGGAGAAGTTTCAGTTCAACGAACCTCCCCAAACAAGAGGTTGGAAGGCAGTTTCCCCTTCACGCCGCCATAGTTGGCTGGGTCCATCCACATCAGGAACTCCCAGCAGCGAGAGAAGGACAAGGACAAAGAGTGGAAGATTTCTCTGGAGTGGATGCTGGAAGAGGAGAAGAGGTGATGTGTCAAATACCCTGATATTAATGATATTTAGGGGAAGAAAGAAAAGAAACTGAAAGGAAATGTTGAGTAAGTGAGCAACAGCTGAACTGTTAAATGTCAATTCTGCTGCTCTGATGCTGCTTTAAGCATCAGAAAAAAACACTTATATTGCAGTGCCCGACATATTTTTATTTCATTAAAGTTTCTAAACACTGACTTAACTTTCCCATTTAGTTTTTCTCCCATTAGTTTAATGGGCAACTCAGTTATACATTTACTATAGATAGATGACACTTCCTGTGATGGAGACCACAACACCATATGTAGAAAACATTTTAGTGGTCTAAATGGTTATTGTGTTTTTTCTGATGTTAGTGTTATGACTTCAGGCAACTTAATACAAACCATTTTAATGAGCTCAGTTTCTTCGTGAGCAGCCTGTTTTAGCCTAGTTTTTTAAACATTTAATGCAGGTATGTATGTATTTACCAAAAGTTATTTACTATATGCATGTATTTATGTCAAATAATAATGTAGGGGTTGGAGAATGGATATATGCAGAAAAAGGGATAATCTCACTTTACAATGCAAGATTTATCGAGACGTAAGAAATATCTGACCTGTTAGTGATATACTCCACGTAGCCAATTGCATCGTCTGTCCTCCGTTTCTTAGTACACAGGATGATCCTGTTGAAGTTTCCGTACACCACAGTTGAGCCAAGACGTTTAAACTCTGCAACCAACCTGAGAGCAGAATGAGACAATGATTAAGAAAAGAACAGGACACTCCAGCATTTAAGAGA